TGTGTGTGTGTGTGTGTGTGTGTGTGTGTGTGTGTGTGTGTGTGTGTATGGCTATGAAACTGCCTGGGAAGGAGGGACAAAGCTGCATTGTAAGTGCTGGAAGGCGATACCTGAGATCCCCTCCTCTGTTTGAAGTTGCTTTCCCCAGTTTGACATGGATGGCTTTCTTTATTCCATCCTTAAAACACATGCCTTCCCTTTTCAAGAATGCGCAGATTACTGTCCCTTAAAACCGCGTCCTTTATCCTCGAGATGGGCGTGAACTCAGCCATGCTGATGAAGTCGTTGGACTACAAAGTAGTGGACGATGCGAGTCGATAAAAGAAGGCACTAGTAGTTTAGAACTCAAGAAGACTTTAGGATGAGGTGAAAAGTCTTCAAGATCCAAGAATTTAGGATTTTTAAGGTGGCATGACAGAAAAATCTTAATCTTTTATCATTTGTGACTGTAGGCAAGTCAATAACGTACATGTCACTGTGACATAAATCTTCTGGACAGTATTGAATAATATATGCAGGAGTTCCATTTTTGAAGACTAACTTATATTTTGTAAATCATCCGTTTTTATCCAGATACAAAAAGAGACTCATGATTGAGTAAAAGATTCTGTAACAAATAATCCAATCACTGATGTTTTATAGATCTTCAATATAAACTATTTTTGATGGGTTTAGTTTTTCTTACTTTGAATGGATTTTCACAATCAGAACTTTTTAAATTAAAAATCCATTCAAAACTCAATCGTTCAAGTCAGTCTAAAAGTGACAGATTTTTTAGTTTTTTGTTCTGGTGAGGTATGGCTGAGGATGCTGTGGCTTAACTGCCAGCTGGTGCACTTCTGTTCAATTAAAGAAATTGTATAATGTCATTTTTAGCATTCATTTATCATCATCTTCATCATTCTCAAATATCCCTGGCTTTGACTGATTTTTCAAGAAGTAACACATAACACACACACAAAAACAATCAAATAAAAGACCGAATAAAAATTTTGAATAACTAAATATAATTGTAACAGAAACACAGAAAATGTGATGTCATTTTTAGCCAGCATTGAGTTGGGTTGTCCAGTAGATGGAGACATTTATCAGTTAATCTGTTTGGAAATTAGCTCATCTGGCTCAGGAATGTGGACCCTCTAGCATACATGTATCACCATTAATTACTAGTTTTATACATGACAGATTAACAAAAACAAATAAATCTATATTTCCTATTTCAAAGTTATAAGAATACATTTATTTTAAAAAATAGAAAAAAAACCTGGGCCTATAGCAAGGACCAGATCCCCAGAAACAGGAAGAAGTATAAAAAAGATAAATGAAATGAAGTAAATGGATCATCTCACCAGCTTCAACTGCTGTAGCCTCCAATACTTTTTTCACCAGTGGAGGCTGCTGAATAGGCCGAGGAGTGGTCTGCAGGGAAACACACAGGTATTTACAATTCCAGACTTGTGCTGGGATCTGTATCAAGCATGATCTTGATCCAATTGTTTCATTTCAGCCTCCCACTCTGTAAACTATAAGGCCACTTGTAAAACAAAAGTCACAAACTAAACTGACTCAGTTCTGCTTTCATGTTTAGAGATTGTACAACCAGGGCTTTCTTCGTAAGTATCCAGAATCTCTAAACGAACCTTTTCGAAAACACGATTGGATCGACATGTGCTGGTTTTTTTCTTTCATGTGCTGTCAAGTCATTACAGTTTACGTGTTTGTCTCAGTTGGAAATCCAAGGCCAACCACAGCCTTGTTGCATAATTTCCCTTTATCTTCACCTCATTAAGGCTGTGAAAGAAAACAGTCCCATTCCCCAATTCATTGTTGTAGAATCTAACTCTGGTAACTTGCAAAGCACAATAATGTTCAAGTAATCCGAACAACATACCAACATGCATTTGTTTATGCGTGTGGTCATCCAGCAGCTTCAATTTCAGAACCTCTTTCACCAGAATTTTTTTCACCTTTTTTTATTTTTTGGGGGGATTTAGCGTGAAGCTCTCGAACACACCAAAAAAAAGCTTTTCCGGTCATTCACTGACGCATCAAATCTTCACCTGCAGTATTCAAGTACTCAAGGGGGGCACTGGGCAGAAGCATGCTGAGGAAATTAGGGGTATTTTGGGGCCAAGCGAAGGGTCATGATGTTAAAAATTAACCACTTTTTATTGTGGGAAAACATTCTCTCTCTGCTCAAGTCTGACAACACCAAGACTCCAACAGGACCACCATTAACAGTTGATTTATGAATAAACGTGATAAAGAGCACCCTGCCTCCTCTCTCCTTCTCTCCTCCGCCTTATCCATCAGAGCTTCATGGATGGGAATGACAGGTGGGAGGCTCTTATTGATGGATTTGTTCCCCTCTAGCCCATGAATCTAAGAGCAGGTATGCTCCCATCGGCATTGAGCCTCCACAGCGGTGTGGGGTGGCTTTTTCCAGTGCACGTAGTCTGAAATCTGCACATTTTCGTGGTTGGAGGAGGAAAATAAACAACCCAGCTGTTTATAGAATGCAGCAAATGAGGTCTGGCTCCTTTCGGTGTCTCGGGCAAACGAGATTTTGAACAGAATTAATGAAGTTCTCACCAAAGCAAAGCTACGTTTCATTTAGATCAAAGTGCAAAGATAAAGCAAGACAGGACTGCATTCAGCATGGAAGTCTGAACTCATTATCTTTAATCTCTGGTCCATAAATCATCCTGAAGATTCATTTAGAATGTTTGAAGATTTTGAAAACCCCTTATGCGTTTCTCAACTTAACTGAGAAGATTTCAAGCTAAATCTATAAATAAATGGGAGAAAAGTGACCCAAATGACCCACATTTTGCATTCACAAACGTTGTAGCTCATAAGATAACCTGTTTTTTTTTCTTCTTTTTATTCACTATTAAGAGGGAGATCCCAGGTCTTCTTCTGAGTTTCATGTGACAAGTAAGTAGCCGCATTCCAGAAACCTGAAACAATCAGTTGTGCGTAAAAAAAGGTCTCAGAACACTTCCACTTTGGGCTGAGCATGCTCGGGGGGACACTTTGATCCCCGCGGTGACATTGTTAAGGATGACTGACTCACCCTGCCATCTATCAACCGAGAATTCCAGGATGACAAAATGGAAAGTCTCACTTCTACTCCCCCCTGTCTGCCTCCTCTTTGCCCGGACTTGTTTTAAATTACAACGCTCGGACCGCTCCGCTGTGTGGAACACATCATCATCGTCAGATAGGGAAGACATTGGCAGGTGGAAATTAAATGCCAGCTGTTGTCTTTCACATGACGCTGTATATTACACGTTGTTAATAACCGCTTACTGTACGGACGGGAAAAGTCCTCTTGTAAACGTACACGGCG